TCGATGCAATCAACTGGTTTTCCTTTGATAGAAAACTTTGAATCAATCTGACTGGCTTGAGATGAGCACCTTGAGATGACATGATGTGAATTGGCGCTATAGAAATAAACTGAATTGAATTGAATTTAGCTGTAATGAAATGGAGTCTTTTGCACATCTTTGAACTTAACAGCGTGGTTGTGATGTGGGGGTAGGATGTGTTACTTTGGTTATTCCCAACAGTCCCAACAGACAGGTTTCAGGCAACACTTTGCATTTCGTGTTTTTTTGCTCAACATCTATGGAGCAATTTTAGCGCAACCAAACTGAGCGTGCAGTGAGAACAATGTGCATCGTTTAAACTTTTTGAATTGAAAAAGCTTCCTGGATGGGAAGCAAAACGCCTTCAAACTTGGAAACAAAGTCAAGTGGATTGTTTTTAATTTTAATTTTTGGAATCGTTTAAACTCGGGTCTCCTGCTCGCTCAACTCCGACATCGCATTCTCGACTTCTTCTCCACGCGCTCAGCTTCCTTTCTGCTCTCGCTCGGCCCTATAGGATTAAATGATTTATTTAATTTACAGCTTTTTTAGATGCTTCTTCTCTGGGCTCTACCGCCATTCCCAACCGAGGATCGGACACGGTCAGACAAGGCAGCTGTAGCAGCCAACACAGTCTTTCTCTCACTTCTAACATTAAAGAAGGATCTTCAGTTGATTTGTTTGATCCAAGATCAAAAAAACAAAATCCTCATTGATTTGTCTTCCCTTCTCCCATTCCTATTCAGGCCTGTGACATTTTTCCTCCGCCCTAGCTCCACGCATCAGGACGTCATCAGTCAGTTGGATCATTTTAAAAAGCCTGACCCATCCTTGGTATTAGATCATAGCTTCTCTGATTTAGAGCAGTTTTTCTCAATATGTGGATAGATCTGGTCATATAGAGCTGCAGACCTGCGTGTTTTTGATTCCCCTCTGCTTTATTCAAGTTAACAGTTCAACGTGCAGAATGTGGTGACAGGTTGAGGAGATTAGTGAGCTAATTAGTTAAGAGGTGCTGGTTGATTAAGTCTCACTTGACATCAGGTATAAAAGTTTTGTATAAAAGGTGATTAGTCATACTTCTAAAGCCTTGGAAATTAGCTTGGTAATTAAAGACTGAAGCATGCTGGGTAGATTATTCTTCAGTAAATGTCGTTGCTGAGCCACATTATTGACAGAAAGCACAAAGTGGAGTGCAGGTCCCTCTACTCTGTTACCATGGGCAACATCTACTCCAGGCAGATCAGAAACAAGCTCATTCTCATGCCTGCTGATAACCCTTGCTTAGTTTCGCCCGCTCAGAGTAAGCATGACCTAACAAAGCAAACCTGTTTGTTCCTGTCTGTCTCTCCGTCCAGATCTCCGTGGGTGTGTGCGGGATGTTGTGTCAGGGCTAAAACCCATCCCTCTCCCATGAGCCTGTGTGCCCACGCACACACACACGGCGCCTTGACGCACGCACTCGGCGCCCACGCACCCACAGCCGGCACTGACGCTGTGAACTGGACCCTCGGAGCCCGGCAGAGCCCAGTCTAGCCCACTTGGAGCCTGAGGATGTCAACAGAGACGGAGCTTCAGCCAGCGGTCAGGCCCAGCAGCGTTAGACGGGACTCCAAGAGGAAAGGTAAGAAAGCCCTCAAAATGTACTCTTACTTTAAAGAAATACTGATTATTTTGAATGGTATCACATATATACCGTACTATCTATATATAACATTTAGTAGGCTTATATATAGCGGTCACCACATATAGTTTAGATTAGGGCTGGGTATCGATTCAGATTTTCCAAATTGATTCGATTCGATTCACAAGGGCCCGATTCGATTCGATTCACAATTATTGTTTCGTTTCCTTGATATGGAAGACATTCTCAGAAGAACCAATGCTGCAAATAGTAGAAACTTCTAGCTCAAACTTGGAGCATTACTAAAAAATTTACATATTTACATTAGG